CTCGTTAGAGATCTTCAATCCAACTGTTTCAGATTGGTGCTTGCTTTTTATTACTTTGGATTATCATTTCAATCTGTCGATCTTAGTGATGACAGATTTACGGCATACATGCTATCTGCATTTGTTGAATTGCCTGGTAATTAACGTTCATCTTGATTTGTCACTATATGTCATCGCAGGAGGATTACTGGTAGTTCCTCTTATGCTCTATATGGGACGAAGAAATATATGTATGAGTACTATGATAATGCAAGGCATTGCTATAATTATCGCTCCACTTTCCCGAGGTATGGTTTCACAACATGCAGAAAAGGAACTGTTCTAACCAGCACTTTCAGAGCCTCAATGGTTTTTAGTTGCATTTGTATTACTAGGAAAGTTGATCAACAGGTATTTGCTTTTTTGAGCTGTATTGCATTGCCATTCAAAAAAAATATTTCAGTATTACGTATGAAGTACACCCCATATATATCTCAGAAATGGCTCCCACATCAGTCAGATCTTTGTTCCATTCGATCATAAACATTCCGCAGAGTTTGGGAATCATCATAGCACCATATCTTCGTTACATGGTATTAGTTTCTCACATAGATAGCAAAAATAGTACTTAACCTCAGGATTTCGGGCCAAATTACACAAAGTACTTAATTGTTGGTATCCTATGCGTTATTTCTGGAGCATCATGCATCTTCTTACCAGAAACAAAAGGCCGTCCGTTGCCACCTGATATCAAAGCTGCTTCTGAACATTGCTTTGCATATTCGAAAGACAAGGAAAACCTTATGAGGCAAGTTCTTATTCTATCATGTTTTTATTTGCACCATAATTGTGTCTTCGCTTCAATTATGATGATATCAAGTGCTAAATTTAGCAAAAATCAGTCTCAAGACACAGCCATCGTAAGTGAAGAAAAATTGGAATCTGTTGAATAATTCTCCGTACAACGCTACTCAAGTCATTTTCCAAGCTTTCATTGAGATAGTTTGTTGGATTCGACTGTAACTTATGAATAGCAATAATAT